TGCGGGCCAGAGTCCCCAGGGATGCTTCTTGGGGTCTCTTCGGGGGGCTATCGGGGGCCTCTGGGGAGGAATTCTGGGGTGTCTTGGGGCCTCTTGGGGGCCTCTTAGAAGTCTCTTGGGGGCCTCTTCGGGCTCCCTGGGGACCTCTTGTGGGTCTCTTGGGGCCTCTTGGGAAGCTCTTGGGGCATCCTGGGAGCCTCTCGGGGCCGAGGGCTCGAAATGTCCGTTCGGGTCCCTCGTCTGGGCACGCTCTTGGAGCCGTCTTGGGGGCCTCTTGGGCCGTCTTGGAGGCGTTTTGGGCTGTCTTGGGGTCCTCTTGGCTTGTTTTGGGGCCCTCTTGGGGGCCTATTGGGCCGTCTTGGGACGATCTTGGTGGCCCCTTGCGCCGTCTTGGAGCAGCGGGCAATTGAAACAGCGAGGATGCCCAAATCTTGAAAACAACTAACGGAAAGTCAATGACCTTGGCTTCTTTGGGCCCTCTCGGGAGTGCTCTTGGGGCGTCGCGTTCTGGACCGATTGTTTGGAGATTGGGGACCCTCTTGGACCGTCTTGGGAGCCTCTTGGGGCACTCTTGAGTTGTCTTGGTGTTCTGAGGCCCCCGGACCCCTAGGGGGGGGATGCGTATCTGACCCCCCCACCTACCCCCCCCTTGCGTACCCCCCTGGCCCCCCCTACCCCTTCCCCGACGGGGGAGGGGTCAAAGGGAAGGGGCTTCCCTTCATCTCAATTACGCTATTTTTACATTTTCCTCTCGCTGACAAGCTTGAGGAGGAGGGTGCAGGGAAAGGGGACGACGGAGACGACGACTGACGGAGACGACTCGAGCAGACAAGCCCCTCACACACGCCGACTACACCCTCCCTTTAAGTTCCTTACTCATAGGTCCCTACAAGGATTTATTATCAGTGAGGGAAGTGGCCCCGTTGGAAGACAACCGTCTGAAACTCCCTCACAATGCCAAAACACTATTCCAGGGACTTCAGCGCTGCAAATCAACTTTATTCAAGACGCTTCGCGTTCACCGCCCGCCTATTCCAGTTCTCGCCGGACGAGGCGAAGACGGCTCCATGACGGGATAAACATAGGCAGGAATTCATACAAGTCGTGTGCTTTGTTGTTTGTGTCCCGCGTTCTCTCTTCCTATGCTATCGCCTACTATGCTCAGGCATGCCTCGTGGCTGTTCGACAGTAGGCTTGTCGTACTTGCTACTGTTAGTGGTGGTGGTGTGGTGGCGTGGCATTCCCGTAGTTTTGTCGCGCTTGTGCAGTCGACTGCACCGATGTCAGGGAAGGCGGCATGCTCCCGTGGTGGGCTTGTGTCATACGGTGGCGTGACAGTCTCGTGGTTTTGTCGCGCTTGCGCAGTCGATTGATCCGATGGCAGGGAAGGTGGCTCTTGGAGTGGGTTCTCCAATGGCTGACCAGATGACTGGCCCGAGGTGTGCCGTGGTAGATGTCTGGGTGCTTGTCCCGACGGTTGCCCGGATTCTTTTCCTGTTGCTAGTCTCGGCGGTTGCCCGAGCGGTTGGTTGCCCCGACGGTTGCCCTGGCGGTGATCCAGCCGGCAAGGCGCCAAGAAGGGCCGAAGAGGAATCCGAAAAAGGGCCCAAAAAGAGGCTAAGAAGGCCCCGAGGCGGTCTGGGGGAAGCCCAGGGCGGCTCAAGCGACAGCACTTCCGCGTTGGGTCGCACCCGCGTCCGTCTTGCAGTAAAAACCGGGGGAGGTCTGACCTGGTTTGGGGTCCGTTTTGCGGCCCAACATGGGCCCCGCAGCGTCCAAAATAGACCCCGGAGCGCGCCCAAAAACGGCGAACAAAAGGGAGTGATGAAAACTGACGCACGCGAGCCCGGATGTCAACTGTAAGCAGCGTCCTGGACAGCCCCGGGGAAGCCGAAATCAGGCCAAAACCATAGTATTTGCTATTTTTTTTGACATCCCCACATGTCGGCGAGAATGAGCCAATGAGGCGCTGTCGAGGGCTCCGGGAGCGGATATTGGAGGCCAAGAAGGGGCCCCGACGGGGCCGAAATGGAGCCCACAGCCGCCCCGGCAGCGTCTTCAGAAGGATACCCATATCGAGCTTGTCTTGGACGCCGTCGTGGAGCCGTTTTGGAAACCGAAAAAGGGCATTGCCGCAGCCGGGCGGCGGAATGGCGGAGGCCTCTGCGGGGGAAAAAGGGGGGGGGCTAAAGCTCTGTAATTAAATCCCACACGCCCCTCAGCCCAGTGGGCGGGCGGATTCAAGTGGCTTACGCCATTCCGCCGACCCCCCAGAATGAGCGAGTGCTTGCGGCGATCTCTTCTTGGATTCATTTGATGGCCACTTGGGATGCCTCTCAGGGGCCTCTTGAAGGGCTCTTGGAGGCATCTGTGGGGCCTTTTGAGCCTTCCTGGGGGCCTCCTGGGGGCTTCTTGGGGATCCCTTGGGGGCCTCTTGCGGCCTCTTGCGGGCGCCTCGGGGGCGTGGGGGGGCTCTTGGGGCCATTTTGGGGAGAAAGTT